AGGGGGCGATTAGTAACAATTTATATTTTGGGGGGCGAAAAACAATTTTCTGGGCGATATAGTAAAACATTATATTAAGAATAATTAGATATTTTATTCGTTATATCGTACAATAATTAAACAAATAACATTATACTAGTCACTAGTCTATTCAATGCAGTACGAATTTGGCGTTAGCCTTGTCCCTCGAATCGAAATTTTGTAGTGAGGGGGGCGATACTACGTTGAAGAGGGCGACGATTCGTTAGAGGTTGGGAAACACTGGTATAGATAATGAGAGGAAGACATGATTAAATTGACAGGTAATCTTGAGGTAAGGAGCATCCAGCATGTTGTACCTTTCATGCAAATTTCGCGTTTGTTGCGTGCCGCCTTCATGGTGTAGCAATTTTAATAGCCAACAATGTGCATTATCCTTATTCATCTGTTGATACATCTAAAAATTAATTTTTTTTTCTGTATTACAGATAATTTTTCTTGCAGATAAACTTCCCAAATTTACAAATTTACTAATTATATCTTATTTTCTGCAGAAATGTCAAAATTTGTAAATTTTAATTATATAAATTCTATAATTTTAATTATTCTATATCAAAACATTTAATGTTTCCTATTTAGTCTGGTCTTGAAACTTTCCTTGGATTAGGATTAATAGCTGGACCAACGCTTGGAGGTGCCTTATACGATGTATGTCAACTTATACTCGATTTTGTTAAAAAATTTTTTAAACGATGTTTTAAAGGAATTTTTGTGTAATGATTAAAACTTTTTTCAGCTTGGAGGATTTGAATTACCTTTTATATCAATTGGTGTCCTCATTCTTATTGATGTTGTTATAATGTATATCATTCTTCCAAATCCAGGTAAATATAAAATTAACTTATAAAATTAACTTTTCTTTAGCTCAAGTATAATCTACAGAAGTAAAACATACTTGTAACCTAAAAGTATTTAAATAAATAAATCGTCTTAAAAATTAATACAGAATGTGAACAAAGTCAGAATTCTAAGTACAAAAATATTCTTTTATAAATATAATTATCTTTCTTCATTGTTTATATGATTTAAACCAATTTACAGTTTGGCTTTATCGTATTCTAGGTACGTTAAAATTGAAAGGAGGAAATTTATTAAAGTTTTGGGCAAATCCTACTACGATATTATTCGCAAGTCTTGTATTTACTACATTTAACTGTATTGGATATAATCAATCCACACTAGAACCTCATCTCAGAGATGTAGGATGAATTTAATGTTCATATTTTAATTTATTTTAATCAATTAACTTATTCGATAAAATATTTGATTTAATTATTTATAGTTCCAACTGTCTGGAGTTGCAGTAGGATCTATCTTCGTTATATCTGGTGGCATTTATAGCATAACAGCACCTGGATGGGGTTGGTTATGTGATCGTGGCGTAAGTACATCAAGTATAATGCAATAAAGTTACACTTTAAGAATAAGACAGTAAAAACTTCCTGTACAATAAATTGAATATCAAACTCAGCTTTCTTTTAAAACACTTAATGAAACATTTAACGCCTTATAACGCTGAGAATATTTATTAAATCACAAACGTTTTCAGCCTAATGGAATAGGCCATCATCAGGTGACAGGCTATCGAACAAATTTGAAAATTGCGTTAAAATAGAACTTTCGACTATTATAAATTCAAAATTAAAACGTAAAATAAATTAGCCAATCAATATACAAAATAACTATAATAAATACATTGAAGCCTTATTAATATAAATAATAGAATAAAGCGATATAAAAAATCAAAACAAAAATAAACCTAAAAGATCAAATGCACAAAAGGATTAAGTTCATAAAAATATACAACAAAAAGCATCACTTTATAAAGGGCAGATAGAAACTAAGAATTTGTGTGTTTTAACTTTTCTTTTACAAAAAAACGTTCATGCCGAAGCTAAACCATCAGCATCCCTTGCATTGATACAGCCGTCCCTTAATTTACTCTTATAAATTTCAATTTTTTCATGTTGCAAAGCCAACGATGGGGACCGCACATTCTTGAGAATAGATGCTTCATTCCATTTAACTACTGAAGCCTCCGCTTGTGCCATACTTGATAAAACCGTGGTGCAGTGTCCTTTACTAATGTCATATCTGTGTTCTTTAAGCCTAATAGCCAAATTCCGTCTAGTGACTCCAATATAGTCCTTCATAATTCCTAGCTGTTGGTTTTCAAAGGGAATTTTATACACGCCCTCTGTTTCCTCTTTCTTAAGCTTGTCTTTATCGTTTCTGAGAATACTGTATAAATTAGGACCTCTTTTGTAAACAATTTTGGAGCGTTTTTTGTCTGAAGCTTGCTTCATGATGTCTCTGAAGTTTTTATTATACGTGAATTTGGTGATCTTAAATTGATCTGTTCCGGTTCGTAACCTCTTGCCTCTTTCATAACTTTTAATTAGCCCTTCAATTGTACTTTTGCGGTAACCCAGTTTTGAAGCTACTTCCTTAATTCTTGCAATCTCTTTAATCCTGTCCAAATCACTAGAGCAATAGGTAAAAGCTCTCCTAATGAGTGCACGAAATGCTGACATTTTATATTCATACGGGTCATTCGAATTAGCTGGTATGTAGAGAGGACTGTGCATAGGTTTTATGTAAATGCCCGTTGTTATGCAATCTTCTTTTAATTGTATGTCAATATCCAGAAAATGTATTCTTTCCTTCTCTTTGCCGTTTTCATAACCCGAACCCAGCAATTCCAAGAATATTTGCCTTTGCAGAAATACATAAGGAAGGCAAAGATATAGACCCGTTGTGGAGAAATGCAGAGGGCCCACATACATTTTGGGAAAACGCTTACATAAATTCATTGCGGATCAATTATGTAACAGTGATCTTGTTGCACATAACCCGACCAATGTCGTTAACGAGGTAATTACAAGAGTTAAGTTTAATGGATGAAGAAGTTGGGACCGTTATGGATTTTGAAAGCCTGTATCCATCGGTAAGAATAGAATCATGTTACGAAGCTTTAATCGAATTTATGCTCCGCATAAAACCGGAAGTTGGTGCATTTGAGAATGATTTGAAGGAATTAGCCAAGTTGGTATGTTATGTGTCCTTCTTCAGCTATGATAAGCAGGTATACAGACAGAAGAAAGGCGTACCTATGGGAAGCCCAATGTCAGGGTTGTTATGCGAGGTTTTACGCAACTTAAAAAAGCACATTGTTAATAGCTTCACAAAAGGTATTGTATTTTACAAAAGATATGCGGACTATGTGTGCGTTATATGGAGAAACGGCGAAAGAATACACGAGTTCATAGAGGCTATTAACAACATCAACAATGATGGTTTGAAACTGAAACTAGAGCAGAGGAGTCACGAAAGAATACATTTTCTGGATATTGATATACAATTAAAAGGAGATTGCATAACAACGGGCATTTACATAAAACCCACGCACAGTCCTCTACATAACAGCTAATTCGAATGACCCGTATGAATACAAAATGTCAGCATTTCGTGCACTCATTAGGAGAGCTTTTACCTATTGCTCTAGTGATTTGGACAGGATTAAAGAGATTGAAAGAATTAAGGAAGTAGCTTCAAAACTGGGTTACCGCAAAAGTACAATTGAAGGGCTAATTAAAAGTTATGAAAGAGGCAAGAGGTTATGAACCGGAACAGATCAATTTAAGATCACCAAATTCACGTATAATAAAAACTTCAGAGACATCATGAAGCAAGCTTCAGACAAAAAACGCTCCAAAATTGTTTACAAAAGAGGTCCTAATTTATACAGTATTCTCAGAAACGATAAAGACAAGCTTAAGAAAGAGGAAACAGAGGGCGTGTATAAAATTCCCTTTGAAAACCAACAGCTAGGAATTATGAAGGACTATATTGGAGTCACTAGACGGAATTTGGCTATTAGGCTTAAAGAACACAGATATGACATTAGTAAAGGACACTGCACCACGGTTTTATCAAGTATGGCACAAGCGGAGGCTTCAGTAGTTAAATGGAATGAAGCATCTATTCTCAAGAATGTGCGGTCCCCATCGTTGGCTTTGCAACATGAAAAAATTGAAATTTATAAGAGTAAATTAAGGGACGGCTGTATCAATGCAAGGGATGCTGATGGTTTAGCTTCGGCATGGAAGTTCTTTGTAAAAGAAAAGTTAAAACACACAAATTCTTAGTTCCTATCTG